GTCCTTAAAACTACCTGTATTAAGACTGTACACTCCACAGCTCACCATAGCGTAGACAAAATGGTTCAAATTATGAAAAATCATTGGTGGAGTAATTGTTCTAAAGTTGCAAAAATGGTTTATAAACAATGTCTGATTTATCAGATTCATAATTCTGTGAAAAACATTAACGTTTCAAGCAGTACATTTCTACCACCTGCTGGACCATGTGAACACCTACAAAAGAACTTCATTTAGTTGCCACCCTCAGTGGGCTATCCGTATGTTCTTGTAACTGTATGTCTGTTCTCAGGGTGGACTGAGGCCTTGCCATGCAGGAAGGCTGATGCCACAACAGCAGCAAAAAAAAAAAAGACCAAAAATAAAAAACAGAGAATGTGTTTCCTTTATGGGATATCCCTAGAAAGATTTCCAGTGACAAGGGAACTCATTTTACTGGACAAATAATGAAATAATAATAATTATTATTATTGAGACAGAGTCTCACTCTGTTATCCAGGCTGGGGTCCAGAGGCATGATCTCGGCTCACTGCAACCTCCACCTCCTGGGTTCAAGTGATTCTCCTGCCTCAGGCTCCCGAGTAACTGGAATTGCAGGCATGCACCACCACACCCAGCTGATTTTTGTATTTTTAGTAGAGACAAGATTTCACCATGTTGGCCAAGCTGGTCTCAAACTCCTGACCTCAGGTGATCCACCTGCCTCAGCCTCCCAAAGTGTTGGAATTACAGGTATGAAATACCGTGCCCAGCCTACTGGACAAATTATTAAACAATTTTTTAAAGTTTTCAAACAAAATAGCATGATCGTTGTCCTTATCCTTAGTCTTCTGGAAAGGTTGAATGGACAAATAGTATCCTAAAATTGGCCAAAATGATGGAATCTACTGGATTTCCTGGCCAAAAGTTTTAACACCGGGTTTAATGGCCATTATGTGTACCCATACTGAAAAGCTCAAGATGATGCCTTATGAAATAGTACTGGAAGACCTATGCCCTTAATACTAGAGCTCCATATTTGTAACCTGTGGTATGACTCAATATAGCCAGAGACTGATAAATTATGCTGAAGCATACAATACGTCTCTACAACATCATTGATCAGCTCTTGGAAACTGTGACTTTAAGCAAAACAATGCATAATAAAACAAATTTTATTTTTTTCATCAATGTTAAAATGAAACACATTATTCAAGGAAGATTGTTTTTGCTTAATACCACTGTTTCCAAAAAACTATCGATGACAACATCAGTTGAGGACTTACTGTATTTCCATCAGGTAATAGTAGCTACTGATGATGGAAATACACTGCCACTGATTGACGATCAGAATTCAGTGGTCTAAAACTTGGAAACTGGGTCTTTTGGAAGTGATATCCAAGAATGTCTGCCCTTGAGTCTCACTGGAAGGGACCACACCAACTTCTCACCACTTACACTGCAGTAAAACCTTGAGTTTTGGAGCAAAGTTTCTCAACTCAAGAGAGCCCTTCCAGACTGTTGGAACTGAACACCAGTTAGGAACACCTAAAGTTGACCAGGAACATCTCTCCCCAGAAGCAGATGGCATCTTGAATGTAGACAGCTTTCCCAAGATCAGAGATCAAGAACCTCGTCTTCCTGTCATGGAAACCCGGTTCTCTCTTTTTCTCTCCTGTCTCATACTCTTCCTTTCTATTTGTGTATGGCATGATAATGCCATAATTAGAATCTCACAGTCTATAGCTCCTGCAGAAAGTTTAGGTAGATTCCAGATTTTCCATGCTAAGTCAAAATACTTGCCTGACTTTCTAGAGACCCCTTAGTCTCTCTTGTGACTGAATTTGCCAGAATCCCAAATGCACCAATCTGTTTAGATTATACAGTTGGTCCCTTCTATAGAATCAAACCTCTAGACTCCTTTACTCTTACTTCTTGTTTAACCCAACCATGGAATAGGATGGCCAGGTCTGCTGACCATATTGCAAGGAGGCTATGCAACAAAACGGAGAATGTTAACAGACCTATTTGCAAGAATGCCTGTCGACATAGGCATTTGGCAGCCTTCTAGGACATAATAACTCAGTATCAGTCTCTTGGTTAGAAACTGCTGATGCCAACTAACTACTCCATAACTGAAGTCTCCCAAGGAGGAAACTTGTTCACCCTAGGTACATCTTCTCCCCCGTCCCCCCAAACCAACCCCAGGCTTTCAGGAATGTCCTAGGTACATCTTTATCAGCAGATAATTTAACTGTCAGCGATATGCTTGGGGGCACCCCATATCTTGACAGATAGAGAATGAAAGGCCAGTGGGGACTAGGGATTTTAATGATGCCATTGTCACTACATAACCAGTCAGAAGCTAAACATTGGTCCACCCCTCTAAACCTGAAGCACAGATTAAAAAGAAACTGACCAGAAGATGACAATCCTGCCACAGGGGCATCGTATGCTAGGTCCATCTTCCCATGGCTTGGGATGACTACAAATGAAATAATGATCAAAAATTTTTCTTTGACATTAGTTACCATTGCAGGTTCTACAGCTAAGGCTATCCAACAAAAATACCTAAATTATCTTACTCAAGTAGTTTTAGATAATAGGCTTGCATTGGACTATTGGCTGAACAATGAAGAGTCCATGCAATAAGCCCATTTTCTCCTGTTTCTTTTGTTGTGCCTGGATAAATACCTCTGGTATTAGAAACTCTATCACAAGAAATTAACAAATAGGCCACCTGGTTAAAACAGGTTGACTCCTTCTCTGGGTCATTTCTTCATTTATTTGATTTTAGCTGTTTTGGTTCATGAGGACCTTGGGCTAAGGAGCAGACTCCAGTCTCTTGGTATTACCCTCCTGATGGTCATCATTGTAATCTCCCTGGTTTGCTGTATTCTGTCTTAAATGCATGCTGTCACCCATCAATGGTACATGAGATGCTCTCACCTTGATCAGAGAGACAGTAATGATGTAAACAACAAAAGGAATCTTTCTTCAATGAGCCTGACATCATGACTTGTGAGTTTCCCAGAGACAAAGACAACTTACCTGTGATAGTGACAGGGAGGGGTGCCTATGCCTAAGTATTGTTCAGTCTTTCATAAGAGGCTGACCAAAAGCAGAAAATAATTGTTTTTAACAAAAATTCTAACAGGGAGGGCATTAGACTGTTAAAGCAAACTAAATATGGCCTGAGAAGGACTTTGTACTTTTTTCTAGATTTGAGTCCTCGTGGACAAACTATAACCTAGCCTAAGAGGCAGACAAGATTGAAAACCTAACTTGGGAGTATACACCTATAACAATAGCTGAGTCTTAGCCAATCCCAGCAGCAACCATATTTCAACCCCTTACAGACAGTGTTCAAACTGTGTTCAAATAAGGCAAACACCAACCTGTAACCAATCCAGCTGTTTCTGTACCTCACTGCTGATTTCTGTACGTCGCTTCCCTTTTTTTGTTTATAAATTTATTCTAGCCACAAGGCATCCCTGGAGTCTTTCTGAGTCTGCTGTGATTCTGAGGGCTGCCCAATTTGCAAATTGTTCATTGCTCAATTAAACTCCTTTAAATTTAATTCAGCTGAAGTTTTTCTTTTAACAAGACAGAGGCAACCCTAGTGCTTTAGGTTCCTACTTGTAAGCAGACCGGAACCCAATGTAAAGAGTAAAACCAAACCAAAGACTACCAGTAAGAAAATGCCAGCTAACGTCTAACTAGGGTCTTTCCACCTAAACCAGTGAAGTACACTTTCATCTTCCCTTTGCATAAAAGCTCACTGCCCACGCTGCTGCCACAAAGCATTTTGAATTTCTTTTGATTCCGAGAGCTACCAATTCATGTATTGTTCTTTACTCAAATTAAACTATTAAATGTATATTATCTAAGTTTCTTAGACATTAGTAATTTAAACATTAGAAACATTAAATTTCTACGTAAATAAACAACATAGAAAATAAATAGCAAGAGTAGGCCAGGCATGGTGGCTCATGCCTGTAATCCCAGCACTTTGGGAGTCTGAGGCAGGCAGATCACCTGAGGTCAGGAGTTTGAGACCAGCTGGGCCAACACCGTGAAACCTCGTCTCTACTAAAACTACAAAAATTAGCTAGGCATGGTAGTGCACACCTGTAATCCCAGCTACTCGGGAGGCTGAGGCAGGAGAATTGCTTGAACCTGGAAGCGAAGTCTGCAGTGAGTCAAGGTTGTGCCACTGAACNCCTTAGTTCATTTTATTTGTTTTCCATACACACTACAAGTCTTTAGTTTTGCCCTCAGATTTCATTGGTTTCTTAATTTTTAAAATTAGTTACAAAAACAAGCACAAATCAAGTCCAGAAACAAACCCAGCCAACCATTCTTAGGCATACAGCTCAGCTGTGGGAGGGGAAGACGGGGGTAGTATCTGTGGTGGGTACCTCAAAGATGTTCATGTCCTAATTCCAGAAACATATAAATGTTTCTTGTATGGCAAAAGGGATTTTTCAGGGTGTGGTTAAGTTAAGGATCTTTCCTGAATTCTCTGGATGGGCCCTATGTACTTCCAAGAGTCTTTGTAAGAGGTAGGCAGGAGGGTCAGTAAGTAGTAGGAGATGTGACTATCTTCACCTTTTTGTGTTACTATAAAGATATACCCGGGCTGGGCCCAGTGGCTCACGCCTGTAATCCCAGCATGAGGCGGTGGAGGCCGAGGTGGGTGGATCACCTGAGGTCAGGAGTTCAAGACCAGCCTGGCCAACGTGGTGAAACTGTCTCTACTAAAAATGCAAACAATTAGCTGAGTGTGGTAGCAGGCACCTGTAATCCCAGCTACTTGGGAGGCTGAGGTAGGAGAATTGCTTGAACCTGGGAGGCAGAGGTTGCAGTGAGCCAAGATCGAGATCCTGCTCTCCAGCCTGGGCAACAGAGTGACACTCCATCTCAAAAAAAAAAAAAAAAAAAAGAAAGAAAGAAAAAAGAAATAGTAAGAGTAAATAAATTGTAAATGAAACAGCAAGATTCATGTGGATAGTGCTTACCTTCTTGTTGTGTAACTTATGACATGGAGAGGGCATCTTTTCTCGGACTTGATAAATTGTTCTCCTTTCTAAGACTGGATTGGCTTGCAACATTTTATCCTTTGTGCTTTCAGTGTCTGAAAATCTCCAAGAGTTGCTTCAATGTGAAGTTTCTGCCAAGATCACTTCCTCTGAGACAGCACGCTTTTTGCCACACTTCCTTCCTCAATTAGGTTAAGTTTGCCTTTTTAAGTTCCTCTGGCTGCATATCTAGGGTCTCTTGAATGATGCAGCATCCACATTCTCACAGCGAACTGTTTTTTGTAACTGATTCAAGTTCACTTCCAGTGTTATCACTTTTTGGACTTTTTGCTGCACTTTCATCTCTGTTGGCCAATTTCCTCTTTTGAGTATCCATTATTGTAAACCAACATGTGGCCTCATTCACAGGAAAACCAGCAACCCAGCTACATGCTTTGCTGTCTGTGTATGAACTGAACATATGTGCAGTGGCCAATCATCAATGGACTTTGAAAGGAGTGGTGTGACTGGTTACTGATCGTGATATGCATCTGTTATTTGCATAATGGTCTGAACTGAAGAGCTGACAGTGAGGTTGTACTTTATGTAATTGTGCACAGTTAATAACATTGTTGTAACTGAAATTTGAACCGTGTTGTTGGGGTTCAGGTGTGATTTAACTAAACGGTGGTAACTAAGATTTCTGCATATTGGGACCATGCAAAGTGAGGACCAACTATACTTCCAACACTTACCAAGACTGATCCAGCAGCTGCCATTGTCGGATGTCCGATATATCTGCAACAGAGACTGACACTGAGCCCTGATGTGGCACATTCCTCAATGAAACCAATAGGCCACTTGATGGAAGTTGACTACCTGAGGTCTCTTCCATCCTGGAAGGGTCAGTGGTTTGATCCCACAGGATATATTCAGGTTATGAGTTTTCCTATATAAATATAAATGTCTAAACATAATTCTTTGTCACTGAATAGAAAGATTCAGAATATATATATATATATATATATATATATATATAATATTATTTAGGAAAACATTTAGATAATATAAAAACAGTATTAAATATTGATACATACATAAATTTTTAAATTAATTTTTAATATATTGATTATATACACACTACATTCTCTGCAAGGTTTCAGGTGGTAGAGAGTAAAGGCAGTGAAGATCTCTTGCTTTGCAGGAATATTTCTTGGATTTCATATACTTTTAAGGCTGTATTGGAAGCTGGCAAAGATCCCACTGAGTTCTGGTTGGTAAGTAAACACAGCCTGCTTTTTAGCTTCCAGCTCTTTGCAGAGAACGATGATCCTCCTTTTCCTTTCTCCAGGCCTAACCCACTTCTTCCTACACTCAGATTTCTGATTCTGGAATACAAAACATACATTGTGAAAGCCTGAGGGAAAGGAATGCCCACCCATTCCCCACCCCAGCCCTACTGTCCCCTTAGCCCCCACGCCTGTCACAATTTAGCACAGTAGCAATGAACACTAGGACCCAGCACTTGACTTTTCTAGTGACCCTCTGTCTGCAAGTGGGTGAAGACCCACTGAATCTTGTTTTTTTTTTTTTTTTTTTTTTTCATCTTTTTTTTTTTTAGTGTGGATACTTCCTGGTACCCAGTTGTTATTAATATGGTTTGACTTACAGCTGCCATTTTTTTTTTTTTTTTGGTTTGCTTTTTTTTTTCTTTTTTTTAAGAGACTGGTGTCTTGCAATGTCGCCCAAGCTGGAGTGCATGGCACAATAATACCTCACTGCAGCCTCAAATTCCGGGGTTCAGGCAGTCCTCCTGCAGCAGCCTCCTTAGTAGCTGGGACTGCTGGCTGCGCCACAGTGCCTGGCTGAATCTTGTTGAAAGGAGCTTAGTCAGAACTGGAGGCGTACTGAAAACCACTCTACTGAGTGAGGCACCTGCATACTAATGGTGCTCCATTATCACCCAACATCCCAGCATCGGGGTTGCTGATGGTATCCTTCTACCCTGTTAGGTGTGGGATGAACACTGAGCTCAGGGAGGGGCAAGAAGGCACAAGGACTTCATGTGTTCCAGTCTGGGCAAGGAAAGGGCAGACTGTCTCAATGCCTTCTTTGGAAAGAGAGGGTTTGGCCCTCCCTTTTTGCATAAACTGCTGAGACATGCAACACTGTAAGAATATCCAGAATTTACTGCAAACTCTCCAAGATTTGGTTCAATCTGATTTATCATTTTCAAATTCCACTTAACAGTGTGTATTTCTTCCTGATTTTATTTTATTTATTACCTTGTCCTAACCAGAATGCTTTTGAGCTTCCCCTGGTGGTTTTTCTTTTTTTTTCTTTCTTTCTCATATGCTGAAATTATCAAGGAGTTTGAGATCTTCGTACCTGTAAGAATTTGCAACCCAGCCAATGAAGGGAGCAAAAAAATATGATGTCAAAATATTTTACATACTGAATTTCGAAAAGCAATTTTTTGAGATTCTTGAGACACTAATGTATTCTTTATACCAACTTCAACCAAAGGGATGGCAAAAAGCAGGGAAGATTGTTTCATTATTGAGGATAAAGATGGATTCTATTTTCAAGACTGGGATCTTTGAGAATTAAGTAAGACAAGGTTTGCAAAGCACTTGGTAGTTTGCCTGGCACATAGACGGTGCTTAATAGCTCAGCTGTCATTATGTTTTATATGTACCACAATAACTCTATAGTGCAGTTTAGGAAGACTCTCGCTCGCTCTAAACCAGCCCTTCTCACAGGTTAATGTGCAGTTAAATTACCTGGGGTTTTTTTACATTGCAGATTCTGATTCAGTGTGTCTGGGCTGAGACCTGAAAGATGCATTTCTTTTTTTTTTATTTTTTGAGACACGGTCTCATTCTGTTGCCCAGGTTGCAGTGCAGTGACATGATCACAGCTCACTGCAGCCTCAACCTCCCAGGCTCAATTTATCCTCCTGCCTCAGCCTCCCAAGCAGCTGGGACTACAGGTATGTGCCACCGGACATGGCTAAGTTTTTGTATTTTTTGTATAGACAAGGTCTCATTATATTGCCCAGAAGGGTCTCAAACTCCTGGGCTCAAGCAATCCTTCTGCCTCAGCCTCCCAAAGTGCTGGAATTACAGGGGTGAGTCACAGCACTCAGAAAGATGCACTTC